TGGAACAGTGTCTGTTTACTCAACTGCTTCCAATGGAATATTCTTTGATGGAACCACTGTATTACTTGGCCATAATCAGGTGTTAGCAGACAGGTAGATTTGGTTTAAAGGCTCATCCTCTTGCAAAGGATTTCTTCTAGCATTTAAATGTTTTATGAGACAGAACTTCCCAGTGAGATATGAATGAGAAAAAAAAAGACGTAACCATGGCCCTGCAGCAGCCTTCCTTCTTGGTGAAGAGCCAAGCTCTAGTTGAGCGCATATTTGTTATCATTTCTTTGAGATGCAACAAATACAACAGTTGTCACGAGCGTGTCCTAACTACGATAAACATTTCATTATAGTGATAGTTGAAACAAATTCTAAGATGGGCAATAACTGCCGAAATGCTCCATTCCAAAAAAATTCTATACTAATTTTAATAAACATAAACTCTATTAAAAATGCCAAAAATATACATCGGAGAAAAGACAGCCTTTCAAACAGTGTTGCTAAGAAATTCAGATATTCATATGAAGAAGAGTGAAACTGTCCCTATCCCTCACCCTGTGTAATTATCAGCCCTAGGACAGGCAAGCTGGCCTAGTGAGTAAAGGTGTTTGCCATCGAGCTTGAAGACCTGAGTTTGATCCTCAGGACCCACATGGTGGGAGAAGAGAGCCAATTTCCATAAAGAGCCTTTTGAAGTCCACATTCATACAGCACACATATGGCAAAGCTTACCCTACGTCCCACCTCACTGCTACTAAATAAACAATGTAATGAAACACCAACTCTAAATAGATTAAAGACTTTAATTTAGACTTGAAACTTAGAAACTGTTACAAGGAAAAGTACAGAAAATCCTTTAAGACACAGGTATAAGCAAAGAGTTCCTGAATGGGACTCTAGTCAATCAGGAAGCAATGTTAACAATTGCCAGCTGAGGTATCATGGAATTAAAAGTCTTCTGCACAGTTGAAGGGAAGAGTACATTGGGTGAAAGGACATTCTACAGAATGTGAGAAAATCTTTGCTAGCTATTTGCTTGAAGATTAATATCTAGACTATTCAAAGAATTCAAAAGAAAAAAAACTAAACAAATGGGAAAAAGATCAAACAATCAAGTAAATGGGCTGAAGAACTAACAAATAGTTCTTAAAAGATGAATTACAAATAGCCCATAAACATCGAAACATGTTCAACTTCTCTAGCCATCTAGAAATGAAAATTAAAAACGTGTTAAGATCTTATCTCATCCTAGTCAGGATGATAGTCATTAAAAAAATAAAGAATAAGAAATTATGCAAGCATGTGGACAAAGAGAAATCTTACATTCTGTTGGTAGTAATGGAAACTTGTCCAGCAACTATCAGAATCAGTACAGAGATTTCTCAAAAAACTAGCAGTAGCTCTATCATACAACCCAGCTATCCAAATTTTCGGTACTTATCCAAAGGGTTCTAAGTCAACATATCCCAGTGATAATTAAACATCATTGTTTATTTGTGGCACAATTCAAAATATTGAATTATAGGAGCAACTTAGGTGTCCAATACAGAAGAACTATGAAGAAAATTGTATACATTCACAACAGACCTTTTTTAAAAAAATTATTTTAGCTATAAGGAGCAAAGTGATGTTGTTTGTAGAAAAGTAGATAAAACTGGAGATTATTCTAAGTGAATTAAATCAGTCCCAGCAAGACAAATATTCTGTTTCATTTATGGATTCTAAATTGGTTTTGTTGGGGTATTTTTGTCACAGCTACAGAAAATAAACTGAGAGGGCCTAATGGAAGGAGGTGCAGGTGCGAGATAGGGAAGATTATGGGACTCTGGGGGCTCATGATATGCTCAATATACACTATAGACTTGTATAAAAATGCCCTTGTGTTAAAACAGTTCTGTGTACAATGAATATATACAATGAAAATTGTAAAAGTGTTAATAACAGTTAATGTCTATTATCATGAGAACATGAATATGTGACTATTTCCCAGCATTGTATATATTTATTTAACAGCTTTTACTACATACTTAAAGTTAGAAACTAAACTGGTAATTAGCAAAAACTAGAATGTTATTGTTTTATTTTTAGTTTTATGGCTTATTAATAGTCTTGGACATGGAACAAATCAAGTATTTTTCTGTGTATGTAGGGGGAATACTGTGAGGCTGATAGAAAATAAGCAAACAATGTACACAGTATTTTTAGCTCATACCACTTTAGCTGATATTAGCCATGAAGTGTTTTAGAGGCTCAAAGAGTGAATTGTTGAAGCTTTCTTAAAATAAAACAGTTTCAATGGGTTAGTAACTATTAATGAACATCACACATCAAACCATAAAATACAACCCAGATGATTTAAGATATTAAAGTGACACCAATGATTCTATGTGGAATGTTCTGAATACATTACATTGTAAGATGAAAATATAAAACATGAGTACATAACAGGGAAAGAAAGAAAGAAAGAAAGAAAGAAAGAAAGGAAGGAAGGAAGGAAGGAAGGAAGGAAGGAAGGAAGGAAGGAAGGAAAAATGAGGGAGGGAGGGAGGGAGGGAGGGAGGAAGGGAGGGAGAGATGGAGAGCGGGAGAGAGAGATGGAGTTGGGGAGGGTGGAAGAAAAGAAAGAGAAGAAAAGAAAAGACAAATCTAGATAGCTATATTCTGGGTGAAGAAGTCTTTTTTCAGAAAAGCTTCAAGTTATGTTTTATTCTATCCACGATTCAAAAAAGTTATGCATTCCAGGTTGAGGATCTCTTAGAAACCCAGAAGGGATGTGTGGCCTCTGCTGCTCATGACAGCTATCACAAACACCTTCCAATAACAAGTACTACCAACTACTACTTGAAAACCTTCTTTATCTTAGGTAATTGGAGGGATAAAAGGCCACTAGCGTAAAAAAAAAAAAAAAAAAAAGATTTAATGAGTGAGGTTCAAAGTTGTATCTACTGAGAAACATTTCCCTAAAGCAAAGCTAAAGTTTTACTGATATAGGCATATTTCTGCATAATGCAATGATACCTATATTCCACAGGGACAGAATAGCATTTTCCCTAGCACTAAGAAGGGTGGAGGGCCAGCAGGAATAGACAGTGAATTGGAAACTGAGCTTAGCATGTTTTTAGGACTTCCCTTGCAATGCAAATCTGTCCAACAGTTGAGTTGCTGTAAAATCTGGCTGCATCAAAGGGGATGAAAATAGATTGTTGAAAGATACTGGGAACAAACTGTCTAGGAAAATATCTATCTTACTAATGCATACATAAGCAGTGAGACTACTGTTCCAAGGAAGGTCCAAACTGGTTGGGGGCTGACTTTGATGGCAATGAATGAATGTAATCCACAGTAGATTATCCATAAGAGACTGGAGTATCTCTAGAGAGCTCCAATTTGCTCCATTTTCAACACCTGGGTGAGTTACCAAAGGTCATCTAGTTGGAATCATGGGTGCATTTTTGGCAACTATTTAGTGTTTGTAGTAATCTCAACATGCACTTCTCTAGTTATTCATTCTTTGTGTTTTGAATCCCAAATGCATTTTTCTCTTATAAAGAATTCTCCTTTGAGGGATTGGAGGCAGGGTGAATGAAGAGCATAAAATAACAATTATAGGATGAGAATCAATGCTTCCTTAGAATGCTACACAAAATTCCATGTGCATTAAAAAAAAAGCCCCATGGGGAGATAAGATTAACATGACCTTCACGATGACTTGTGTTCCTTACAAGATAGGTAGGGAAGAAGGTTTGAGAATGCAGATTGCCAAGGTGTCACCTCCTGGCTTATGTTCAGGATTCAGATCCTTGTATGTCTTCTATTGGTAAACATGAGTTTTCCAGCTCAGTGTCTTAAAACCTAGTTACTGAGAAAATGTTCTGCATAATGGACTTAATGACCCAGGACTGGAATAGCAGGGATCTGGCATGAGGATCCCTGTGTGTCAGGAGAGCTATGCTATTTATATATGAGCAAAGCTTCCACAGACTGTTCAACATTACCCTTGCTGCTATTAATAAACCACACTCTTCAGGAGTATCTAATTTAAGATGAATCTTACATGATTAAAAGCACCAAAAATGGAAAAGAACATTGAACTACCTCTGCCCTAAGAGCCCATTATTAGACTGTGTCCAGGATACTATATATCTGCCTGGTGTTAGGTATGATTTATCATTGTTGTTTCCTAATTCCATCCTTCAGTAGACTCGGGCAATTTTCTCACTGCTTTTCCCACAGCAAATAATTCTCTGTTATGTGCTTTATGCTGTTTCCTTTCTTGACCAGGTATCTCCGTCTTATGCTCTTAAATGTCATCCTGTCATTAAAGGTTTGCAAAAGTTCTCAGAAGGTCTTCTCCAACATTTGCATCCATTTACATTTTTTCCTGAATTATGATTGTACTTTGAGATGGTTTTATAATTTTGTAGACAGTACTTTTGGTGTTTATGAATTTAATCTGTGCCCCATCTTGAGCGCCAATTGTCTCATCTCCTCTGCATTGGACACATGGTAATAGAGCTCTTGTTCAAAGTTGTGTGGGTTTTTTTTTCCCCAAATTTTCACTGAAGAACCTTTTACTAATACTGGTGTTTAGGAAGCTGTTATGGTTTGAATGAGAAATGTCTCCCAGAGGCTGATGTATTGGAACACTTTTCCCCATTTGGTGGCACTGTTTGGGGAGGTTATAGAACCAAGGTGGAGTTTGCTAAAACAGACATATCACTGAGAGCAGGTTTGGAAGGTTTATAGCCTCACCTTATTTCTCATTCCCTCTCTCTGCTTTCTGGGTATAGATGGAAATATAATCAGCCAGCTTCCTGCTTCTGCTGCCATAGCATACAGTCCCTGCCATGATAGACTTTATCCCTTTGGAACCATAAGCCAAAATAAACCCCTTTTAACAGGAAGTTGCCTTTGGTCATGATATTTTATCACAGCAACAGGAAAGGAACTAATACAGATAGTCATAATTTTCACAGCACACACAAAAAAAAATAACAAAAAATACTGACCTGAAATGCACAAGGGGTATTGTCCACACAGTAAACTCTCAAATTGTAATCCAAGGAGTTACAGGACATGCAGCCAAACACGGCCACCTTGAGCTGCTTGACGGCACAGTCTGTGATTGGCTCTCCTGTGAGGGCATACGTTCCAAAGCTATCAAGTAGAACATGGCAGGCAAAAGGATCCAAAAGGCAGTAACAGGATGTGGATTCATCCTCCACTGACATCACTTCCTGTTAGAGAAAGATGTGTTAAATTCTTTCAGTTTGGAAATACCATAGGACCCAATGATTTACAGAGATTCAAATAAATAAACTTTTTCAGAATATTTTATTGTCTTAAATATCAATGTTAAATTGTTTTCTATTAAAATAACTGCTGAAGGCAAGAATGCATGAAATGGTTATGTACAGTGTGATGTCCATTTTAATAGGAACAATAACAAAACATTGCTTTGAAATTTCCATTTCAAGTTAATTGTTCAATACCAGTTTTTAAAAAATTGAGCCTTAACCTCAATAAGCAAACTTACATTATTATTACCTTTTTTTCAAAGATCTATTTCTGAAAACCTTCTAAAATACCCTTAAGTTGATGTTTATTTTCACTCCAACACTTTATCCTCTTTCATTTCACTGCAATCATTCACAAGGGACCATTAAATAAATGACTTGGATAAGATGCACTAGAATATTTCACCCTCTCTGATAAGAACTTAGGCATGTGTAACTGGTTTGGTGGAGCATAAATATAACACCATCTGTTTGGAGAAGATTGTGAGGAAAAGCTGAGAATAAAGTGGTAGAAATCAAGGCAAAACAAAACACAAGGGGAAGAAGACTACAACATGACCCCTCTATGAACTTCAGACCCCCAAATATTCTCCTGCCACAGCACCAGGATCCGATACATATCAGAACGAATTCATTCTAGCATATGGAAAATGGACTATCACAAGATATAGCTGGGCCCAGCATATGTAATCTATTGCAGCAACTGTGTGTTTTCTCCTGGAGCACTATGATTTCCTTTTACTTATTTTGCCTGGAGTCCCTCCTGGGAGGCAAGATCCCAGGACCGGCACACACAGGTCACTGTGTTCCAATAAGATAATTCACCTGGTTTCATGCAAACTGACTTCAGACAGACACAAAGAATTCCCTATCAGACAGGCAAATCGGTGTTTCACTTTAACCAGTAATTCAGCTGCAATCTTCCTTGGGGGTGACTGTCTCTTTGGTTGTTAGCCTCCTATTATGTATTCCCATTCTTTTTCTTTGCTTCTCTCAGATTCAGATATGTCTCCTAACATGTACTTATTTACACAGGAAATCAGTAGCGATAATCCTCCATGTATGTGCTAAAGCTATAAAGATGTATTAGGCACCCAGTGTGTTCCTAGACACTTGGAAGCTTAGCCTATTCTTTGAGATATATCTTCATTGGCAGAAGAATGCCAGCTTAGAAAAGGACACAGCCTAGGAGGAAGTCTGGAAACTCACCAAGCAGGTACATAGCGTATGCATTTCTGCAGGCAATTACAACCGAGTTCTCAGACCAAACACTAACTATGGATTATAGCTCGCCTCTGTTTTCCATTCTTACATGAAAAGGCTAGCAAATACCTAGAGGACTGTATCAAATGCATACTGCAACTGCCTGGCAGCTAGCAAATGTTCACCGGTTTCTCAGCTGATCCCTTGTAGTAAGAATGGTGGAGATTCAACCTAAACCATCCACACAACCCAAATCCCACTTCAAAAAGGTCACAGCACCACCCAGCCTCTCACCTCCCACTTTCCCTGCTGTGTCCTCTTCTTCAGGTGGATGTTCCAGTGCTCTGAGCTGACATCTGCACAGTGAGGGATGGTCAGTGCGAAGGGAGTTGTGACGAGCATATCAGGAGGACCACAGGTGACTTCAGGACTCAGGAGCACCTCAGATCCATCTGACTGCAGGCTTCACAGAAGAGAAAGAATAAGGCAGGCAAGCACGTGAAAGACGAGGGACTTTGAATGAGAACTTAGTTACAGATGGGGATAGTCTACAAGCAGAGGGGAATCCCTCTGGAGAATGACCTGGAGAACAGGGCATAGCCTCAGACTGCCCAGGCATCCAGACTGACTTACTGTTAGGTCTCAACTGACTTCACCAACAAATCAACAAAGAGACAACCAGCCATTTGGAAATAAAGGAAGGAATCCAAGAACCCTAAAGTGCACCTGCAGAGCCAACCCCAGCTGACAAATTATCATTCTTGCTAATATATTCCTCAATTATCATTCTCGTTAGCATATTCCTATCAGTGATAAGTCCCAAGAATTCTACAGATCTGACATACTTGGTCGTCTTCTCACCAGATCCCTTTCCCCAAACAACATATTCAATAATATTTTAGTGCTAGTAAATGATGAAACAAGTTATTATGATTCAAAACACTACCTTGAGTATATACAAATTAGACATGATTATTCTGGTTTAAAAACATTTATTTCTGCAATGTACAAACATATCAGTTTTTATAATGTTTTTACACTGATAGCTCAGTGGAAAGCTATATGCATATAATCATGCACATGATATCTAATTTTAAACTCTACTTCAAATCCTAATTTAAAGTCGTTTCAATTTTTCCTTTGTTGTAAGTTACTTAAAATAAAAATGTTATTGTAGAATAGACAAACTGATGTGAAATTTCAGTAAAGAGGTCATGCCTCATTGACTCACCCTGTTTCATTACACAGTTCCCTTCACACCACCAATATTGGGAATGGAACACAAGGCCACTAAGCCTTACTCCACCCCTTGGTTTTATTCAGTTCTCCCAAGAAACAAAAAGGAGATGAAGCTTATATAATAACAATCAGTAAAAACAACATAATAGGAAGCCCACTTATGGTCTCCCAAAGCTCTTCTTGTTTTGTGGGTTTTCACTTATAAGAAATACAATGATACAATCAATGATGTAATTGCAGACTCACAGATGAGCAATGCATGCTGAGATCTAGGTCAGATAGACACTACCAAAGCTTCTACACTCTCCACTCAGGAAGACATTTAAATGTGTCATCCTGGATCCCCAGAGTAACCTCCTGGCAACATAAAGTTGAAATTTGGTTCTCAAAGATAAAATTAGTCTCATGGTCTTAGGTAGGCAAATCATTCCTTAGGAGTTCACCTAAATGCTATTAATTTCTGAATCACTTTTGTTTACATTCGCTGACAGCCTCAAATTCTTTGTGGCCACACTTGAGCTCATTGTCTATAGTTTTCTGTTGCACTAAACCCAGGTTACATAACGGAGCAGGATTACCCTCCATCTACTGCATCCGAGACAGAGTTGAACATGATGACTTGGTTGCCTTCCCTCCTTAAGAAGCACTAGTAATGCTTTCAAAAAGATTATTTTTCCAAAATGCCTGACTTGGATAGTTCTTTCTCTACCAATAAAGCCTATGTTAAGCTGAGACACCCCCCCCTCCCGCCTCCCCTCCCCCGTTTACATTTGAGCAGCAAGGGAGAATGCAAAGCTGCATTAGCAGTAGCAAGCACGCTTTGGAAAGTCTAGAACAATATACTCAAGGTTTGAAAAACATGTGAAACTAAAGTGTGTGTTCTCAGCACACAGTGGTGGCCTGTGTGGGTGAATAGCTGCCAACGATTATTAGACAGGGTTAAGCACTTTTGTTATAATTGCCATCTACATTCATCATGGACAGGAAAAGCAGGGATGCTTGTGAGTGACCGATGACAATCTCTCCTAAAAGAACTATTTAATTGCTTTCAGAGAATCATCCCCCTCATTGAACATATTGTTCAAACATATGGGAATTGGGGGAATTATTTAATGCCAAATGAACTGAAATCAGCTAATTAGAGGAACCTGAACACGCACTGTGAATAGCAAAACTCCTCTCAGTCTTAATGAAACCAGGACCAGCACTCACAGCCACACTAACCTGAGTATCAGAGTGCTTGGGCTTTGCATTAAGTGGGCCTTGGACTCCACCATAAGTGTGAAGTCAATAAATCAAAGTTTATATGTAATCCCCCTTCCCTAAAAATAGTGTCTGTAGATAATGGTATCTCTCTGGCAGTGGAACAAAACTTAATCTCTCCATTTCTCTTTCCATCAGTAATAATAATTTGCCCTTTTCTGTCACTGTCTATTCTTGGCAATCAGGGAGACTTACAAATATTAATTAAAACCCTTCACACACCTGAGAAGGCATGCAATTTCTGTATAAGGCCACAGAGATGTCAGTCAAAGGGATGCCAGATGAACCAACCACCCTAAGTCTCTGACTCACAACTCCTGCAGTCTGTGACCAGACTCTGTCTTTCTTCTCTATCACCATCAAGAGATTTCTGGCCAATTTTCTGGCTTTTGTGACATCCCAAGGAAAGATGGGGATGGAGAATATGATCCAAGTTGAGTCACAGATAATGATTCAGGACATTTAAGGACAAGATTAGGGAGAGAAGCCTTTAATTGAGTGTGGACAAAGATGAAGCTTTATAGGAAAAGCTTGGATGGCATTTGCATTTTCTCACATTATATAATATATGAGGAGGATTCGTGTCCTTGCTGGGAGAAAAGGCAACACATTTTTTTCTAGAATTGCTAGAAGCTAATAATAACTGTAACTATTAATGGTGGTGACTTCAGAACCATAGTATGAACTAGTTCACCACATTACACACCCTATTATGCTTCCTGGATTGGAAAGCCTTGTTGCCTGGGACCTTTGTTACATAACTCTTACATTGTTCTCCAGCTATTTATACATATACATATACATGCATTTATAGGCACATGCATATATGCATATAATTTAGATCTTCTTTATGTAAAGATAATTTGAGATCCAGGTTTTATCTCTAGAGAAACTTTGTTATCTGAGGTAGCACATTTATTCAGTAACTCATCAATGTGTCAATCAATACATGCTTTAACAAAAGGCTCACAGCCTTAGGAGTACACACTATCAGGATTTAAGGAACTCTGGCCACAAGGCTGGTCTTCTTGCTTTGTCTTTACCTTCTAGTCTACTTTCAATTCAGTCACATGCCAGTTTGCTCTGACCTCAAGGAATTGGGGCTATTTTTGCTGCTTTGCAGTGCTAGGTATTGCCTGAAAGATATGTCCTCCGGCCAGCCATCAGACTCCCTGTCCTGTTCAGGTCTTTGTGGAAATGACATCCACTAATGAGACACTCCTTGCCCATGCCCTGGTAATTGGAACATCCCCTACACCAAGGGATGACCTTTGCTTTTCTTTTGCTCAATGTTTTCTAATGGACTGTCCTTTCTGTTCATTTGTTCTTATGTCAACTCTAAGCTAAGATGTACTTTTCACAAGGCTAGAAATTCAAAACAATGTTTTGTTCATTATTGTATTCTTAGTGTCCAACCATGCTGATGGTAAACCCCCAAAATATTTGTTGAAAAAGAACACAGAAGCCAGCTTGAAGGGGCTCCTAATCATGAAGTCTGAAACACTTTGAGACTCCAAGTAAACAAAAGTGCCAAGTAGAACACACCGAGCCACATAAGAATGCACAGGAGCTACTGATATAAATGAATGTACAAGAAGAAAAAGTTAAAAACAACAAAGACTAGGGAATAAACATAGGAAACATCACTTAGCAATTAGCCACAGTAATTCTTGATCTGACCTAGAATTATACATCATATAAACCTACTGGAGGGAAGTGTGAGGAGTTCTAAAGAAGGACATAGCTCCAAAGCACTTACCATGGGGTACTTGCCAAAAGGCAAGTTACAAAAGGCAACTATTGCAACACATGGTGATATGCCACATAGAACTTGACACAGTTGTCAACTTTAATGTTGCCAGTAATGGAAGGAATGGAGAGAAGGCATCCTGAGATGGGGTACAGTGCAGAGAACTCAGCATCCCCTCTTGACCATTCCCAAAGCACACAACTTATATCTCAACACTTGGAAACATGAGAGGAAGCCAGCTTACTGGGAAGTGTACTACATAGTCATTCTGCAGGCTTAATTGTCACTGTTATAAGATTCAAAGACAGAATATCAGATTCATGTAGACTAAAGATACATAGCAATCAAATACAATGAACCATCTTGGGTTCTCATCTGCCATGAAGAGCCTTATTCTGATAAAAGGTGAAATAAACATAAGGGTTGTTCAGTAGTTAATAGCATTTCATCAATGCTAATTATCTGACTTTGATAAACATGCTGTGGTCACAAAAGATAACATCCAGCTTTGAAGTTAAATATGCTAATGTATTTGGGATAAAGGGGCACCTTGTTCATAAAGGTTATAAACCGTTTGTTCATGTGTACATGCATCCATTTTACTCACTTGTATAAATGTACAGGGGGAGAATACAGCAAAGGTAATACATATTAGCCCTTACCAACCTGATCACAGGCAACAGAAAGTCTGTTACCAGTCTCCAATTTTCATTACATTGGAAAATGTATTCAAATTTTAAAAATGTTGAAACTGAATGAGTGAATGGAAATAGGATACTCAGGGAGTTATTATTTTTTTTCATAATTCTGTTGCATGAAACATGAGCTGGAGAGAGATGGAGGTGCTGTAGGTAGTGTTGTCTGCCCCATTCTTTCTGCCTATCTGCCTATCTGCACCACTGCCAACACTGATGACCTTGACAGGGACAGGGACAGGGTACCTGCTTAGACACTGTGTTTTTTAACTCAACAGTTGCTGATCTGACACTAAACTTGTAAAAGATCATTCTCTTCAAGCCCACACTGCCAGTTTCAAGTTCGGAGAGGAGGTTGCCACTGCTGTTGCCAGCCCTGCTGATGCTTGGTAATCACCATCCCTGCCTTCCTCCTTATGGCCTTGATTTTTAGATTAATAGAAGTTTGATCACCTTTACTCACAACATCATTCCAGAATCCAGACAGGAGAGTAATGATAGTTTTACTATGTCAGACCCTTGGTCAATACATAATTAATTCATATTTTAATGGAACAGACTTAAAAGGCAGATAGATTTCAGCTGTGGTACTACAGCTAGACCCCTGAAAGCAAGGCTTCTCTAGCCTGTCAGAGTTTTCAACTGAGGAGACATACTGTTCTCATCACCCTCATAATTGTTTCCCTTTCATTAAAACCCATACTCTGACGTAGGGTACTAAAGTTACTACGGCAGGGCAAAGGCCCTGAAGGTTTGTGGTTTGTTGTTTTGTTTATTTTTATTTTGTTGTTTTGTCTTGCTTTGACCAGTTTGCAAAGCGTTCCCAGGAAATGTCCTAGAACTGCAGGTGAGCCGGACTCTTCAAAGCTAGCCTTTCTCACTCATTCATCTCAAATCGTGAACACATGTGCTGAGCACTTTTTCTCACGACTCCTACGGCGGTTGTGAAAAACAAGCACCCTGAAAGCAACTATAGGTAGTGAG